AGTGTATGTGTTTATTCTGAAGATATTTTTGTTCATATGTATTGACTACGTACAACGTGTGTCTACGTTTATGCAATCCTTGTCTCCGGCACAAACTAGAATACAGCAACGAAAGGTGTTCATACCCACTGAACTCCTTACCTGTTCACACGTATTTATTCGAATTGGTGTGGTAGGTAAACTGTAACAACGGTCTTAAGAAGGACCTTTTCGAGTTATTTCGTGTCACGAAAAGTTCTTCAAGATTGATTGATACGATCGCGTCGATACGATTAACATCGAACGCCTCAAGGCAGCATATGTCGACGATGATATTCTGCACGGCAGTTCGAGTCTCAATGTTATTCCTGCACGGCCGATGATTGAGGCACATACCTCAGAGTCGAGCTCCCAGATCGCAGTACCTGCTACGATTTCGAATGAGGCAACTGTCTCACGTTCAAATCAGCTGTGTACGAGCACCTTATCAGACCAGGACGAGACATCAGTCTCACGTTCAGGTCGAAGGATTGCACCTGTCTCACGTTCAAATCAGCAGTGTACGAACATCTTATCCGACCAGGACGAGACATCAGTCTCACGTTCAGGTCGAAGGATTGTTTTGCCTGCTCCGTCTGCGGGATTGAGCAAAACACGATCCACACAAGCGTATAACGTGAGCAATACCTATACGACTTAAATCACGAGATGCCTCATCTCGTTATTTATTTTGTATTTTCAGTGGTTGTTAATGGACGGAGGTGTCCTGGACGAATTTTGACAGAAATATTAGTACTCATAAGTAGCGCGATGTCTAAAAATAATAGAGCTCTTACAAACATCTGTATATAAGTACTTATGAATAATATAGCATCAAAAGAACCCAACCGGCAAGAACATCAAATGGTTTAACAGGGATACGCTTGCCTAATGTGGCCTAAAATGTTTCCTTCCTAAGTGGGAAGTGTTTCATACAAAAAGTCGAACCACATTGGATGTTGAATCTCATCAAGGTCACTCAATATCATCTCTAAGACAGAACCGCACACGTTTTTCAATCGGCGATTCCCCCTCCCCCGTCCTGAAAGACCCCACAGTGTTAACGTGAACGCCGATCGCACAATGTACGAAGCCGTCAGAGAAAATGCCCCACTACAATTGATGAGCGTTTTTTGGACATCGCGTATCAAAAAGTATATCCGGCATTGCTAGCCTAATAATCCTGCAAAAACATACTGTGTCCGTAAAAGAAGTTTTACCCATTTTTACAAGAAATGATTAATTTTTCAACCCTCCAACATGATTTCAAGATCAAAATTTAAAACAAATATGCCTCAAAATCGCATTCCTCGGCAGGGGGAATAATGCAATTTCAGGCACTTAAAAATCATTAAAGTAATTTTGAGACAGATACAATTATTACGATTTCATGGAAATGTCCCTAAGCAAAAATATATGGAGGGAGGGGTTACTATTGAACACCACCTGTTTATGATTGACGCAGCAAATTCGAACGTTAGGATGCTGAAGCTAACAGGTGTTGACGGTCTTCCAGTAAGTCTTCTTACGAATCTCAGTATGCGCGCGACCTCCTAGTGTTTCGTTGCCCATGGTAGACAAAAACACTCACGGGAGTCATGTTTATTGACGTATCGTGGTACTAGATAGTACCAAATACGTGCCGAAGTGACGCTAAACAATGCAAGCAATAAATGCAGTAGCAGAGCGAAAGCGTGTCACACGTGTAGCGTGGGTTTGAACAGGACCCAGCTTATGTATACACCTGAGCGAAAAACCGTGCTCAGTAAAACAAACAGAAGTAAAAGAAAGAAATATCACAGTTGGAGTCAGAATTGATTGTGGAGAAAATACGTATGGAAAACGTCCTTGTGGATTGCTCCTTTGTTCGTACTTTCATAGTCACTACAATACTACACCGATTTCTCCCATAATGTTTTACTTCCAGAGATCAGGTCATACGAAACACATTGGTTGCCTCTAGGTTCAACGAGAATTTTGGCACTCTCTCGTACGATCGTGGCTCCTTTGGGTCTCAAAGGTTTGTTGAAGACGATTTACGTTTCTACGGTCGCATACACGGACAACAAGTGGTCTATTTTGTTCACTCTGGTATGCCGACGATCACGGACACTGGAAACGTTGAGAGTCACCCGACACCATGGTGCAACTAACAATCCAGATGGTGTGAATCATCCCAGGAACGAGTGAGGATACGTCAATATGGTTCCCATACTGACATCCAACGCAAAGAATCTGGTTCGTGCGCGATTAATGCAAGACAGTCTCAACGTACCAACGATTCTGCTAGTCCATGTCCTGCAGCACGGCCAAAAGCTAACGATTGCCTGCTTTTTGAACTGGTTTCTGAATCGGAAGCTTTTGCTTGCTTTCCGGCGAAGGGCTGCTGTAGTAACTGTGATTGTGCGAAAAAACGGAGCAATCAATCGCGTTCATACCTTTTCGGTATTCGCAATAGTACTGAATGTAGGAATACGAGAACTCGTAATGTACTGCTGAGAACTGAATTGACTCCAACCAGAACTGCGGACACCAGTGAAATACGCGAGAAATTGATAGGGGCAAATGCTTATGTTTATTGATGGAATTAGAGCTTGTTCTATAGAAGGTTATAGTCCATATGGTTGGTTGAACGAGCTTCCCACAACCACGTAACCGTTTGCACCGACGCATCATATGTGTAGTGTCTTACATTGCTATCTACTTTTATATGACAAGATTGTACAGCTTGTTTTAATATATACAACAACTAACTACACAATACAAAAATTCTATTCGAATCTCCGCACGTGTTCTCCGAGTGTTGCTGAAGCATTACGCGAGCATTATCAGTTAATGTCGAGCGGTCCGTTAACTGTCGCTGCCGTCCCTTTCAGCTCCACTGCACCTCATCAACCGGAACCACACATCTGAAGAACAGGATCACGCAACCAACGGGACCATCCTTCTGTGAGTCTGTTTCATGTACCGTTTATTCCTTTATCATTCGTATATGTAGTATCTTTTCCACTACATATGTACTAACTCGGATGTCATGTTCGCCCGGTGTACCATTGGTCGAGCTTCCTGAACGGTGATTGGATGACATAAAACTGTACCTGGTCGCGCATGGATTGCGGTCACGGAAGTCTGGATCACCACAACTCTCTTCCCTCAAGAGTGCCTCGTTAATCTGGCTCACCTGACGGCTACACCTGCGGACTGCAATCGTTGGCTCCGCCTGTTCCTGGCGGTGTCCTAGCGCTTCGATTAGTTGTGTTTGCGCATCTGACTGATGCGTCTCCATCGGTTGTGCTGATGGGGTATGCAAATGATTGTCTCCCTCACTTGCCTCGTGATGCCGCTCATCTGTGGATGGTTTGAAGTGGATTTGGTCCAGGTGTCGCTTGTGCACAGTAGCATCATTCAAGTTGGTAATTTCCACCATGGCTTGATCCAGTTGTCGCGTGACTATACCAGATGCGGGTCGCAAATCATTACCACGTAAGTATACGACGTCACTGGAGTCGAGGCACTGTAGGGAGGATGGCAAACTTCTGGATTTAGAAAGCATTACCGAGCTCTCCTTGGTGGTTGTATGTGTAGCGTTTCGGTATTGTAGTAGGAAGTTATCCACCTAAGTTTCCAACTCATGTAGCGTTTTAGGAGTGGAAGACGCAATCGCACTCTTGACTATTTTGACCAAATTCTCTGCCACTCCCTTCGAACAGGGGTGATGAGGCGCAGTTCGAAAATGTCGGCAACCGATGCCGCCAATCCAAAGCTTCTTTTCGGTCCCACAGAACTGAGATCCATTGTCCATCACAAGCACTTGTGGAATCCTTTAACGACTAAAACATTTCCGTAGTACTTGTATCACAAAGGTTGTAGTAGGCGTAGTCGTAAAGAGTACCTCTGATCATTCGGAGTATGAATCGATCAGGAAAAGAGCATAGTACCGGTTCAGAAGTGGACCACAGAAATCCAAATGGACCCTTTGCCATGGTATGTAGCTTTCCGGATAGGGTATCCAGTTTTTCGGCCGCGTTCGTAGTTTATGTAAACATGACTCACAGTTCTTGGCTGTTTACTGAATGTCTGCGTCTAACTCCGGCCACCAACACATCTGTTGAGCCAATGATTTCATATTCTCCACCTCTACATGTCCTTCATGCAATTCTTCTAGTACCGTCTTCCGTAGTGGCAGTAGGATTACCAATCGATCGTCGCGACACAGTACACCATCCTATTGTACTGGCAACTCCTCTCGGTGAGCAAAGAATTGAGGATACTTTCTCTTTACCTCTGGTGACCACCGTCTCTTGATCGCTGGGAGTATGGACGAGCAGTACTGCTTGGTAGATTTGCGTAAAGCTTCCCAAGACACCGGTGTTGCTGGGGAGCTGAAATGACACTGTTCGACCTCAGAAAATCGTGAGTAACGAGCGAGGAAATCAGCCTGCGGGATGGTCTTTCGTGGACGATGTTGGATGTCATAATTATATGCGGCTAGAATGATACTCCACTTCTGTAGCATAGCAGCAGTGGACTTCGCGATGGATTTGTTGGGGGTTGAACAAGAACTGTAGCGCTTGGTGATCAGTGATGATAATAAACCGCAATCCGAAAAGGCACTTGTGCAATCGTCGAACAGCAAAAAATACAGCCAACGCTTCTTTTTGAATCCGCGCGTATTCCTTTTCTGCCATATTGAGTAGACGTGAAATGCAGATCTCTAGGCATCCTTCTTGTTCTAATACAGCACCGATTCCGACGTCGAACCCATCGGTGATGAGTGTAGTCGGTTTTGACGGTGAAAATGGGGCCAGAACAGGACGATCAGTGACGTAGCGAATTAAACCAGGTAAGACATCTTCACACTGCACCGACCATTCCCAAGCGTCTGAACATTGAGCACGGAAAAGTGTCTGCGCCCTTGTAGCAAAGTTCGGGACAAATCGGGAATAATACTGTGGGCATCGTATCAGTGATCTCAAATGCGTTTAATCCTTTGGAGATTCGATGTTAGTCAATGGTTTGAAACGTGTCGAATCGGGACGGTATCCACGGGAATCAATTGTGAGTCCTAGAAACTCCAACTCGCTCACTCCAAACACCCATTTATACGGCTTGATAGCCACGTTCCTGGCGGCAAATCGTTCCAGGATCTGCGTCAGATGGGCATCGTGTTCTTTCTTATTAAGGCAGAAAATGAGGACGTCCTCTTGATATGCAAGCACACCGTCGAGTCCTTTGATTACACTGTCTATTGCCGATTGAAAGAGGTCAAAGGACACATGCAATCCGAACGGGATAAAATTGTACTGGTATATTCTCAACGGCGTGTCGATTGTTATCAAGTAGTGAGATTCTACATCAAGTGGAATCTGTAGGTATGCGTCTGCCAAATCGATCTTGGAAAAATACTTGCAACCACGAAGTGACTTCATGAAATCCTCTGATTCCATGGTGGTCGCTGCACATCACAATCTGGGATTCAACGTCAGCCGATAGTCTACAAGATCCGTGGTGTCCTATCATCACTTTTTATCACCACGACGATCGGGGTCGCCCAGGCACTGGATTCAACTTTGCTTATCATACCATCCTGTTCCACTTTCTGTAACGGTTTCAGGACACTTTCCCGTTGACCGTATGGGTGAACGCGTCGTTTTAAGAAGACAGGTTCACCGTCCACTTCCAACTTTACCGACCAAACCCTCATGCCACCAACGTTACCGGAACACTGTATAGTCAAATGTTGAAGATGTGAGGTGATTGTCGTTGTTTTTATGTAGTGTGATTGATCCTATTAGTAACCGCATTGCTCGCAGGCCCAGAATATGCGAACTGTGGGCCAAGTAATTGCAATTAATGGCCAGTAACCACATGAATGCGCACAGAATTCGGGGCTAAAGCAGCAATGGGACATATCGCAGTGAGTGCTGATTTCGGTAAGATGGATTTACTTCTTCCTGTGTCCATGATGAATCGATGCTTCACACCAGACTCGAAACTCAGTGGAGCGAATACGAACTGGCCGTTGGGTTCAGTGGTGTGCAGCGTGCAGATTGGGCTTGAATTCTCATCTGCCAATAATAGTGACCAGTTGACTAATGAATTAAAACTTATCAACGGTAAATTTGTATTATAATAGAGGGGCACACATCATGATAATAACATGCCAGCAAAACGGTCTGCACCCCTAAAACAGTAAAGTAAGGATCTCCGATTATTGACACAGCACGGCCAAACTCGACAGCGGTCCGGCGTTTTATGCTATCCTTAAAAAGATAAAAATTTTATATTCCAGGGTCTTTTGAGAAGAATATATTATGACTGATGTTTTAACTGCCCACAATAACTTTAAATACGCTTCCTGTGCACACGGTTTAAAAAAATTTATATATGGGCCTTTTTCAAGCATCTGAAACGATGAACATTAAACTTCTTGTTACATTAGCAAACAACTTACAGAATTTGAACATAGATTTCGTTTACATCTATGTGAACCCCCCAGATAGCACGTCATCGGCTAAGAGCGCTGTAATAGGCCGTTACAATGAACTACACTGCAGAAAATACCCCCTTATTTTCCTGCTTGTCCTGTCCCTGATTCCCATTAGTTCTATATCTTCACATGGATTTACTACCTCGCAATCTGCCTGTTCTGCATGTATGTTTTGCATGTTTGCAGGCATTGTTTGGTTGGAAAATTTGCTCGTGCATTCTTCTCCCTTGTAGCATAGATTCCACCAGGATCTTCGATATCCTGAGACCGCTTCTTCAGCTAGGTCTTTTGTCTTTGTTTGAGTCACTGCCACCTACGGTGACATAACTTCACTTTCAACGGTGCGTGAGTTCATTGCTACACCTCCGCTTACCAAGCATTTTTGCTTTCAAGTACTCTCGAGCGTAGTCGGGCTAAACCGCGGTAATTTAGAGGAACAATAAACCTTCCCTTGACCAACCGGTTGTTCTTCCTGAATCACACCGGGCTGTCGAGAAACACGGGAAAATTAGAGACCGGACCGGTGTCGCAAGNCTGATATTTCATCCTCCATCTCTAAAATGGACCTCAGCACATTTTACGCACTGAGTACATTGCACGTTTTACAGAACGAACTAACACCAGAAGTAACTATCAAAAGGAGTCTTTATACCGAAAAGAGTTATGATAAATGCGCTTTAAATGTTCATTACTATTTCTAACAAATGTAGCTGGTGTAACTCATAAGTAGCTCTTTGCAGCCGATTGAGGCGGTACGTTTTACTACCTTGGCCGTTACTTTATTAGGAACGCAGAAAAACTGGGGTGCAGTAGTCATGTGTTTGCCATTAGGACCACTATTATCACACATTTAAATGGGCAAAGTAGAAACCGGAGTAGTCTCGAAACGCATAGAAAGATACGTATTAACAATATTTTGCCTGTATAAGATCATTTTCGTTTTTTATATAAAGCCTTATTTAGTTCTGTTGTCTTCCATCACACTTTCTCATATGACCTTGGATGTGGCACGGTTTCTGGTGAGTTACACCTTGCACTTGTTTTTTGTAAAGTTTTATACTACAGGTCCAAACACATGTGCCTTCGCACCAGACCATATTTTGTTATTTATTTGATTTTAGCGGTATTGCTACATTTATATACGTTCACAGATAAGCCTGACGTTTACTTTAAAATCTCCCTACGCAATGACTTTAAACATACATGAACCATTTTTTTTAGATGCATCTTTCGATCTTCCATAGCACCAATCATGTAAGATTCACTTTTCGGGCAGTTATTTGTTGATTTAATTAATAAACTATTTTTTATTATTACCTTTTAGGGTCACCATTTTTAATCAGTAAACCGACCAAAAAGAGACTAACGTCTTTTCTGCGTGAGATGAAACCACCGTATTAGGATAGCAGTTTCGAATCACATAGATTATACCTGAGGATAACAAATACATGTGGAGTACCGTCTGAACTGTATAACCGAGAGTGAAATGGGAATATCCATTGGGACTGTTATGATAATCAAGGTAGGTACGGATTAAGTATCACAAATCACTGTTGCAAAGAACGGAATCGCATCAGTAATCATAGACCAGAATATCCCTTCACCGAGATGCAGTAGGAGGAAGGAGAACAGTATCTGCTTGCAGTTCAAAAGTATGCGCATCTGGATAGTAAATACATTTTTACATGTCGATTAGTAAAATGTGATATAATACACGCTAAGAAATACGAAGGACATTCACGATGCACAGATTTCAAAAACATTTTTAAATTTTTTTACGGTTTCCTCTTTGTTATGTTTTTGTTTTTTGTTTTGTTCTTTGTACGCAAAAAATACCCAACAATGACAAAGGTTATAACTCAATGCAGTCGGGATAAAAGCATTTAAAACGGGAACGCGATGGATGGGGAGGTAGGCGAACAGATCGAGAGGGAGCAACTAATGAAAGTTGGTTTTTGAACGTGTTCTTC